GGGCCAATCCCAGCACCTTGGGAATGCCAAACTCACCTGCCCTTGGTTGCAGCCCGGGCACATCGGCTGGTCACTATGCCAAAACCCTGGCCTTCCTTCCCCAAACCGACGTGGGGAAGGGGCAACCATGAGAACTGTTTATTCTAGGGTGCCCGGCAGAGCGGCAGGAAGGAATTACGGGAGACCCAGGGAGGAGCAGCTCCGATCACAAATTCATAAGGATTTGTGCTTGCTAAGCCCAAGAGGTGAGAGGAGGGGGTAGTGATGAGCTGGTGTGGCTGCCTCGCACATCAAAGGCTCAAAAGTCCTCAGGGAAAGGTTGCAACTGTCAAATACATGTATTTTCCAGTTGGCAACTGAGCAGATACCTGATGAGCCCCTCAGAGGCTAGTGTAGCTCTGCTGGTGCCCATCCAGCTCTGGGCTGACCTCAGCAGGATCATGCTGGTTTCTACTGGGAAAGAACTAACGCTGTGAGGAGGGACAGGCCGACATGGTTACTATGGGAATGCAGGGAGCCATTTTTGTGGAATACGTCCCCAGGAGGAGACCCCAAGAGGTCTGGCAGGACGGAGCCCTGCTCAGCCCAGCCGCAGCTTCTTGGGGTTTGCTCAATGCATGCAAGGGTACATCTGCCCTGGTCATCGTGCTGCAACAGCTCCTTGAAAAAGGAGCTCATGCGAGCCATGTGGCTATTAAACAAAAAAGAAGCTTTTTTTTTTAAAAAAAAAAAAAAAGGCTTAAAAAAATTTTGCAGCTGCATGAGCACAGCCCTGATTTAGGAGGAGGCTTGGAGAGGAGCACAGAGTGGCCAAACTCTTTGTGCAAAGATAAGGGCAGGGTTGCAACACCAAACATGTCAGAAGGGCTTCGCTCCCTCTCTGTCTGAGCCCAAATTACCTGCGTCCTCTGTCCCCCCGGCGCAGGGAGCAGCCCACCCTCCGCAGACCTGAGGCCACCACTGCCAGCGGCAGAGCCTCGCAATCCCGGGCTGGCAGAGGGGGACGGTGCTGGGTTTCTTATCCTTGCCCAACATAAACTGGCACGGCTTGCAATGACGATGAAGTCCAAGGCTGCCCGACCATGGGGTCAACCTCGTTGCTTGCAGTCACTGGCCACTCGCAGACTTCCCAGTCAGCCCAATCTGCCCCTTTTCATGCGGTGGAGAGGGTGGTGATGTTCCCCAGAACCAGCTTCAGTAGGTACCTGCAGCCCCAAGCACCTCTGCATTGCTTTTGGTCTCAGGTGATGGTCCACAGCCCCTGCAAGCTGGGAAACTCCAGCACGAGGGAGCGGTGCAAACACCTTGCTGCACAAACCTGCTCTCCTTCTAGCACAAGAATCCCATGCACAGAGTGAGCTTTTGAGGCAAAACTGTTTGGGGTTTTTGTCCCCCCACCCATACAGCCCCAGCCTGTTCTCATATAAATAGTTTAGGACACCTCAAAGACTGCATCAGCCATGGGTTTGATCCTTTTGCGCCCACAGCACCTTAAAAGTGGAATTGTCTGAGGTCTCAGGTTTGGCAGTTCGGCTTTAAATATTAATTCCTTTCTTGAATGTATTAGTTTCAGTGTTGTGTTTTTTTTTTCAAATGTGATTTTCATGCTCAGCCTCCTGGGTGCGTAAGACTTGTTTGCTCAGCGAGGACATCTCTGGTATTTCCTTACATTAATCAGAAGTGGTTTTGAGCCTATTGCCACCTGTCAGTAGTTGCCTTGCTTGGGATTTATTTACGGTGAAAGCTGGGCTCGGACCCATCACACCTGACAGCCCCTTCAGCAAGCTCTGCGTTTGCGTGCTGCTTCTCCAGCTCCAGTGAAATCGCTCGTGTAACCTTATCCGTGCGGCCGGGTCCGTTGACTTCAGCAGTCCAGGCTGAGCATGTGCTGGGGCAGGACAGGGACCTAATTCAGCCATAGGGAAGGGACACGGACAACAGCGCTTTGCAGTTACCTTTTATAACTTACAGCGTCAGGCCTGGATACTACTGTTGAATCCACTTGGGCAGCGCTTGGAGGATTTCTGCACTCTCGCTTATGGAGCTACGAAGCGCATTAGGCTGAAATTAATCCACCAGCCACAGCTAACACGGCCCTGACCTAGCTGAGAGTGCATTTAGCAGCATTAACAGTGCTAATAAAAAAAAAAAAAAAAAGACAAAAAAAACCCCACAAACAAAACCCCAACACCCAAAACCTGCCAACGCACGCTGTGACCAATTTCCAACTGCAGGGAAAGGCATGTGCTGAGCACTCCCTGGGATATTCTCCACCCTTGTACAAAGCAAACTGAGCCAAGCAATTTCTAGGTCTCAAATCCCGCCTGCCCATGACGTTCTCATCTTCCAGCTTCCCCTGGTCGCTTTCGGAGGTGAGCACGTGCTCAGCCCCTGCTCGCTGAAGACGCTCGGCCTCCGTGCAAGGTCTGCAGGTGTGCAGGGCAGAGCCGGCCAGAGGTAGGTGCTGCCTGCCGGAGCTGCTGCCCGTCCGGCCTGGAGCTGGCAGTGGCGATGCCCATTCTGCAAAGAGCCCACCCCAGGGGCAGCTGGGGAAGGGGGCTGCTCAGGGACGAAACAATGGCATGGTTTCCTGCTGGGAGTGGCAAGGTGGGCATCGGGCATGGCGACTGGCGCCAAGAAAGAGGTGGAGAGGGAGGTGTAAGCAAGCCAGGGGGAGGTTGCACAAGGCTTTCGTGGCTGCTGTGCTCCCAAAGCCCCCCTTTTCCTAAATGCGTCATGGATGGGTATTGCAGCTGAGCTTCATGGGGAGGGAGTGGTTTTTTTCCTTTGCACGTTTTTATTTATTAATTTGCTTTCCTAAATTGCCCTTCTGTGCTGCCCAGGTGATCCGCTCTGCTTCCAAAAACCCTCTGGTCACCAGCCATCAGCTACCCTTGACCCTGGCAGCACCTTCAAAGGGAGCATGGCCCTGCTGCGGAGCGTGCAATGTTTGCTCACTTATCGGGCGAGCAGCTACCGCCTCCCTGCCTTGGGGGGTTTCGTCAGCCTCCCGCAGCGCTCCCGGGGAGAACGGTCGGCCACCGCTGCTTGCACAAGGTCAGTGTCCCCCCACCCAGCACCGACGATTCCCCGCCCCGCAGTGATCTCCCTGTCCTCGGTCGGTAACTGCTGTTTGAGTCTGATGGGGGCAACTCGTTAATGCAGTGCTTGCTCAGCTGGCTAAAGCATTAGGTTCGTTTTTCCAGCCCTGGCTAATTAATGATGAGTAAAAGGGGATGTGTCTCCAGTTCTTCCAGCCCCGTGAGCCCATCGACAGGCCAGGTCCCACGGGTGGTGGGCATGCTGTGGTGGGGGCAAGCCAGAGGTGCCCAGCAGCGGGCAGGGATGGAGGTGATGTGCCACCAGGACATCCAGCCCCTGTCCGGTCTCACTTCGGTGTGTTTCAGCTCCTTATGCAGGACCTCACAGCCCAAAGCGCTTTCCTGGATGGGTCTGAATATGGTAGATCTGAATTTGGGAATGTCTTGGCTGTTGGGCATGGGGAGAGGAGAGATGCTGGAGGAGTCTCTGCGCATTGCAGGGAGGTTGGACTAGATGACCTTTAAAGGTCCCTTCCAACCCAAACTATTCTCTGATGCTCTACTTGTCCCTCCTCCCTCCCAGCTGTGCCGTAGCTGGA